GATCTAAGACAACTCCAAAAGACTCACGATGGAAAATGCTGTCCACATCCAGAGAAAGAACCGTGGAATCTGAATACAGATCGAAGCAGACTATTTGCTGTCTCTTTCTTTTGTTGTTTTGTTTTATTGTTTCATTCTTGTGGTTCCTCCCATTAGTTCTAATTGTTCTTTATTTACATCATGACTAATGGGAAAATATGCTTAATAAGAATGTAAAAGTAGAGCCTATATCAGATTGCATGCCATCTTGGGGTGAGGGAGGAGAGGCGGAGAAAATTTAAAACTCAAAATCTTATGGGAAAAAAAATTTTTAATAAAATCTTATGGAAATGATATTGAAAACTAAAAATAAATAAATTATTTTTAAAAATGCAAGTTGGAAAAAAAAAGAAGCAGCAACAAGGTTAGTTTGACTGGACTATAGAATTGGGTCCAGTCAAATGAAAGTATTTGTCAAATCATGAAATTGAGAAAGACACTCTGGTTTGGAAAAAAAAGAAAGAAAGAGTGCTGCCTTAAAGTATTCAATGGACTTTTATGAGGAGGAAGAGGAGGAGGAGGAGGAGCAGACTTCCCTTCTTATTCCTAAAGGCCAGAACTAGAAATATAGGTTGGAAATTGCAAAGAAAGAGATTTCAACTCGGTGTTAGGAAAGACTTGCTGACAGCTGTCCCAAAGTGCAGTGAGTTTCTTGAGGGAATGAGTTCCCCAAGGGCAGCTAGGTGGCACAATGGATAGAGTACCAGGCCTGAAGTCAGGAAGACTCATCTTCCTGAGTTCAAGTCTGGCCTCAGACACTTACTAGCTGTGTGACCTTGGGCAAATCACTTCACCCTCTTTGCCTCAGTTTCCTCATCTGTAAAATGAGCTAGAGAAGGAAATGGCAAACAGCTCCAATATCTTTGCCAGGAAAACCATCCAGTGGGGTCATAAAGAGTCAGACGTGACTGAAAAACGACTGAATAACTAGAGTTCCCATTGCTGGAGGGCTTCAAACAGGCTAGATTACTGCTTGTCAAGAGATAGACTAAATGCCACCCTCATCGTCCCTTTCAGCTCTTAGATTCTGTGATTGATGATATAAAAATGGGTCACAGAGGTGACATCATTATCTGCTATAAAACATGACATGTATTTCCTCTGCCCCATAGCCAGAGCTCCTAAGTCTCCCTAAGGCTTTGGTCTTAGGTTTGAGAGGGCTTATCTCCCAAGGAAGTCATGTCACATGCAGGCCAGCTAACCTTCTTCCCAGTTACTAGACCATGCAGAACCCCTTCCCATCTCCCAATCCCTCTCTCCTCCTGTTTTTCATTCTGTCAGCCTCTATCTACCCAGCTATTTTTCTCCTCAGACCTCATTAGAAGTACCCCAGTTGTAATTGCTGAAAGGTTGACATTTCACCAGTTTCACACAGGCCCCCAATCAAACCAGACTCCCTGATTCAGGGGCATTGACTGCTTAGTGGGTTCTGTAAGGAACTTTGAAAAGCTCCTTCGGAGGCACAGCAGTAGGAAGAACACTGGCCCCCGCAGAGTGGGATCCCCCAGCCTCTGTAGTGTTCTTGACACAGCCACACAGGCCTATTTTCTCTGAAAGAGCCACATCCTGGCAATCTGAGGCTGGCAGGGACCTTAGAGATTATCTAGTCTGACCCCCTCATGTCACAGATGAGGAGCCTGAGGCCTCATCCAAGGTCCCAAAGCTAGTAAGTCACTGAGCTGGGCTCTGGGTTCACCGCACTCTGTGCCAGCTGACATTCACCTAAGGATCAGCCCAGCTCAGTGGGCAGAGCCTAGAGCAGGGGTGGGGAACCTGCAGCCTCAAGGCCACTTGTGGCCTTCTAGGTCCTTGGGGACAGCCTTTTGACTGAGCCCAAGTTTTACAGAAAAGATCCTTTTATTAAAGGGATTTGTTCTGTGAAGTTTGGATTCAGTCAAAGGGCCACACTTGAGGACCTAGAAGGCCATATGTGGCCCCAAGGCCACAGGTTCCCCACCTGTGGACTAGAGTATAGGCCATCAGACAATTGTTTAGACTACAGCAGTCTCTAAACCATCTACCAAAATAGGCGAGCAGTGGTCAGGGCACAGAAGCATAGTCTGTATAAGTGGAGGGGGCGCCCACAGAAATTGAGCTGTAGGTCCTTAAAGTATTGAGAGATCACTTTCACATATTTAATAGCTGTAAAAAGGAAAAAAAGAAACAAGCATTTGTTAAGTCTCATTTGAACTTCTTAATAATCCTAGGAGATAGGGGCTATTATTATTCCTATTTTATAGCTGAGGAAACTGAGGCACACAGAGGTTAAGTAATAGCTACTAAGCATCTGAGGCAAAATTCAAACAAGCAGCCATGGTAGGCACTAAAAGACTGCATATAATAAGTACTTAATAGCTGTTTGTTGAGTGATTGAAAACAAAGATGAAAACACAGTTCTCTACCCTGTGAATGACATTGATTTTTTTACCCCAAATGTACATTGATTATTCCCTGCCCATCATTTCCTCTAGTTATTTCCCACACAGGAATCTTGTATCTCTGGATTTTCTTATCCTCCAAGCTAGGCCTGGGATGTTGGAGGTGCGCAGTACAGACCTGATAATTGTATGGTTTGCTGCAGTCCAAACCCAGTGAGCATCATTCCTTGGCCCCAGCCCACCCCCAGGCTCCCTTTTCACTGGTGAATGTTTGGCCATGTTTGTGCCTCCTGTCATAATGTCGAGGTATCTGAGGGAGGGTGATCAGAACAGGGAGGGGATTGGAAATCATCTCCTGGGAACATTGTCCTGTAGAAGAAGCAGAGGGGGACATGCATTCTGTCCTCCGGGATTAGAAAGGTACATCTAGAATACGATCTTCACTTCCAGGTCACAGATTTTAGAAAGGACATTTTCTGCAGCATGGCTGACTTTCAGGATTTGCTTGGAGTAAGGTGGAACCCTCTGAGACAACCCACTCCACCTTTGGATAGCTCTGATTCTGTGAACATTTCTCCTTAGATGAACAACTCTTACTTAACCTCTCTGCCACTTATGCTCATTGCTCCTCAGTATATTCTTTGGGCCAAGAAGAGCCAGGCTAATCTCTGTGGCATGGCAGCCTTTCAGATGCATGAAGACCATTATCACAGCTCCCCTAAGTCTTCTCTAGCCTAAACGTCCTCATTTTCTTCTACTGATCCTCAGAGCAGATCAAGAGGAGAAGACAGGCCAGAATGGTGAAAGGACTGGAGACTTTACCCTATGAGGATAAGTTGTAGGACCTGGAGGCAGTGGCTCAGGGTTTCCTGTGTGGGAGAGAGCCTGGTCTTATGCTGCTTGGCCCCAGAGGACACAACTAGGGCCGGAAGAAAAAGTAACAGAGAAGCACATTTCAACTCAATATAAGGAAAAATTTCCTAATCATTGGAGCTATTCCAAAGCAGAATTTACTACTTCATGAGGTACTGAGTTCCCCATCTCTGGAGAATCAAATAAAATAGTATGTAATGCCCTTTCTCGAGTATTCAAGTGTAGGCTAGATGTTTAGTGTAGTTTAGGGTAAAAAAAATCAAGATTCTAATTGATCTGCCACATGTCCACAGTATGAGCTTGCGCTAAGCCCATCACTCAGAGTTTTCATTTCCTCATTGTAAAACAAGGGAGTTAGAACAGATCAGTTGTTGTTAACCTTTTTTTATATCATGAACCCCTTTGACATTTTCAGGAATCTTATAAACCCCTTCTGAGAATGTTAAAATACAATAAAATTGGGGCAGCTCGGTGGCGCAGTGAACAGAGTTCTGGCCTGGGAGTCAGGAGAACCTGAGTTCAAATCCAGCCTCAGACACTTAATACTTACTAGCTGTGTGACCCTAGGCAAGTCACTTAACCCCATTGCTTAGCCCCCCAAAAATAAAATACTGTAAAATTCATAGGATTTCAAATAAAACCAATCATTGTAAAATAAAGGTGTCATTTTTTCCTGTCCAAGTTCACTGACACACACCCCCTCCCCCGAAATATATCCACATACCCTGTGGGTGCACAGATCCCAGGTTAAAATCCCTGGGCTAAATGGTCTCCAAGGTCCCTCACATCTTGTGATCTCGTCAGGGTTTCTGTAGAAGAAATTCCCCCACTGGGAAGGAGACTTGACTAGGTAACCTTCGAAGGTCCCTTCCATCACTGAGATTCCGTGACTGTCCTTGACTTGTCCATGAGCTACCTAAACACTGTCGGTGGTTTCCCTGTTCCAACAGCCTTTCTCCTTATCACGTTCCTCTCTTCTCGACTCAGAGGGATGAGGCCTGGTGTGAACGAGCTCCACACCACTGCCTGCCTGGTGCCTTGTCTGCCCTGGCCTGGGGTTCATTCTTCTCATTTTTCTTTTTTAATGTAAGACAGAAGTAACTGCCTTCCGTCTGGCCATGCCAAGGATGCCATGTACCATAGTGGAAAGAAAACATGGCTTTGAATCCCCACCCTGCTCCTCGTCTGGGTGACCTTAAGCAAGACAGCTGTCCTTTCTGAGCCTCAGTTTCCCCAGCTATAAAATGAGGGGTTTGTACTAGACGATTGCAGAGATTCCTTCCAGATCTCAATCTTACAAGCCTGGGAATTTCTCAGAAAGAGTGTGGGTGAAGAACCTGGGCTGTAAAGCTCCTTGAATTCTCCCTTGTGCCCCCACTGAATTGTGCCTGCCCCTCCCAGGCTCCCATCCCCCTGCCTTCATTCACCGTCCACCCGCCTTTCAGTTTCCCTGGCAACGTTGAGTGCTCATCCTGGAAAACTTTATCCGAAATCTGCTCTGGGCAGCTTTCCAAATCCATGCTAACCTGATTAGGTGTCTCTGGGGGCCTTGCTGGCTAATCAAATTAGGCAGCACTAATGGCAGCGAGGACTTTGAGTGGGCACGGAACAGTAAAACATATTGTATACTTAGTGATAATCATCCCGGCTTCTGTGTCATTGATTTATCTGCCTCCTTGCTTACCCCCTTCTCTGTGTGTTTGGCTGCAGCGATCCGGAGGAAAGAGAATGGCTGGTACGACGAGGAACACCCACTTGTCTTCCTTTTCTTGGGATCATCAGGGATAGGTAAAGCAAGCCAGAGATGGAGGAAGGAGCCAGCCAGGGTGGGAAGGGGGGAAAGGGCGGCCTGCACTTGACTGGAACAGCTGTGGCCAAGGGTTGGAGGGTGGCCATGCACGCGCACACACACACACACACACACACACACACACACACGCGCGCGCGCGCCTGCTATCTTCAATACACCCTTTCTCCTGCCCTGGGGAGGAGCTGAGGATGGGGGAGGGGAAGTATAGGATCCAGGCCAACCCCCCAGAACTGTTGGAATCAAATCAATCCAATTCAACCCAGGTTGATTAAGTACCTGCCTTACGTAGAGCACCGTGCTCAGGTGATAGGAGAAATAGAGAGTTTAGGTTAAATCTCAGGCCCTGCCATCATGGAGCTCACAGTCTAGTAGGACAATAAGAAATACTGAGAGTTATCATGAGAGACTTGAGCCAAGTTCCAAACTAGGCTATAGGCTGAAGACCACCCACTAGGTTGTAGAGGGGTTGTGGTCTGAGTTGGTGGAAGGAAAGCCCACACGAGGGAAATCACAGGTCCATGAAGCATTGAAGGGCACAGGGGGAGATGAAGCATGCAGGAAAGCTACTGAGTGGCAGAGGGCTTAAGACACCAACAGAGATAGCTGTAATCAGCAGTGTTACCTGTTCAAGTTTGCAGGTGCCCAGAACTTTGTGATGTTCAGGAGGTGTGTCATTACCATTTGTGATGAGGGAGAATCAGGGAAGACTTCCTAGAGGAGGTGGCATTTGAGCTGAGGAGAAATTCACCAGATAAAGAGGAAGGGAGGGCATGCCAGGCATCAGCAGCAGTGCAGGCAAAGGGACAGGAACAGAAAGTCCAAGCTCCGTTTGGAAGACAGTAGTCCAGTTTGACCAGAGCAGAGTATTGTGGAAGGGAATGTCCAAAAGGAACGTTTCACCCGCGCCCAGCCTCAGAGAGGGGACAGACTTTTCCCCTGACTTTCTTTCCAGATAACTGTGTATTCCATTGAAGGGAGAGGGTATCACCTGATGCCTGTTCCCCCTAAATAATGTGCAGACCCCAATCTGGCAGGCTCCCAGTTATCCATCTGGAGATTGCTTGCTCTGTAGATAACTACAGCTGCTTTTTCAGTCCACAGGCCATCTCCTCTATGATCAGGAAAGGTCTGCTTCTGTTAGGATTAGCACAAACTATACCTGAGAAGGAAGTCAAATAGACACACTGGTACCTATTGCTAGGTAGTAGGAGGAAGGAGCTCAGGGCATTCTGACTGCGTTAGACACAGTGGAAAACAGCTGTTGGCTGGTACATTATCTGTTGTTTTGATTGATTGATAGCTCTGCTCTTCTGCTTTGACTGAGAGACTGAGGAGCTGCCTGTGGGCTGTTTCAAACTTGAGTCTTGCCCTGCCTCTCTGGGCCTTGTGTGACAAGCAGCCTGATGGAGCTGCTGACAGTCAGAGGCACACTTGAGGGGAAAGGAGATTCATAGGATCTTACAGATATTCCATGCAGACCCACACTGACACTGGAAAAGCTAAAGCCACATGCTTCCCCATGCAGACCTAGAGACCACTGATGCCCTCGAGGAAGAACCCCTACCCCCAGAGCCATCTTCCTGTTTTATGTCACCAAGACAGGACATAATTCATGGGGCCGCTTGGGCCCTGTCACCCACCAGTTTGACAAGGGGAGAGGGTACTTTCAGACTGAAGATCCCCCTAGAGTCGTGGCCCCTTTGTCCTGCCCATCACCCCAGCTAGATGGCAGTCCCCAAGAGCAGTCCTTTCTCAGTCTTCTCTCAAAAATATGGAGTCAGAGAAATGAGTTCAAGTCCTCAGCCAGATACTTGCCACTTTTGTGACCTTAGGCAAGCCCTATCCCCTCTCCTGCTGTCACTCTAGGTTCACCCTTAGTTTCCCATTTTAAAAAAAAAAGTAAATGGAATAAATTCTTTTGATCTCGTCTCCCTAAATTCCTTTTGCTAGTTTTGTTCCTGATGTCCTGTTTTTGTTCATTCAAACCCCTGACCTAGTGGGTTCTGAAGTGTGGGGCAGTGAAAAGAGGTTGGAAGAGTCCAGGGTTTGAATGTTGTCTCTGATACTTGCCAGTTAGATGACTGTGAGCCTTGGCTGGTCTGAGCCTCAGTTTCCTTATTTATAAAATAAAGAGTTTCTTAGGCCTTACCATCCAGGATTTTTGTGAAATTCAAATGAAATTCTGTATGTAAAGTGCTTTGTAAACCTTAAAGAGCTATCCAGTGTCAGTTATTATCATCCTCTGCCTCTCGTATCCTTCAAGTCCCACCTGCTCTCCTCCCTCCTGACCACACTGCTCTCTTTTCTGACTCCCCACAGCACTTGACCCGCCTTCACAGACATTTTGACATTTGATTCTCTTAAAGCAGTCTCTGAGCTTTTTTTGTTCTCTAGTCAGAGTCTATGTCCCATATCCAAAGCCAGACTGTAAACTCCCTGCAGACAGAGGCAATGCCTCCCAAAGCATAGCCACACACAGGCCTGGTGCTCAGGACTTGTGCGGTCAGATTCTAGGGTAAAGTCCAGCTTTGGCCCAAAGGCTGGAAGAACTGAGATCTGACACACTTGAGAATCCCTTTCCTTAACAAATATCAGCTCTCAGTTATCTGCTTGTGGCTTCTCTACTTGGTGGATTACCCATGATATACTTTTTAAGCCCGAGCTGGTTTCCACACATGGCCAGCCCAGCCTGCTGGCTAGCAGTGTATTGCTCAGGGTAGAGAGATCATGTTGATACCAACAGGGAAAATCTGGCTTAGAAAGGGAACACCGCTTCTCACTTGGACTCCTAAGCCTGACCCAAAGGACTTTGAAATGATCTGTCCCCACTGCTTTCCACTGATGCAGATAATTGAGACCTGACTGTACATCCTTTCCTAACCCAGAAACCAATATTGCCTGTAATTGACCACCAAAGAATGAAGATACCAGGTCCTCTTGGGGATAGGACTGGGCAGGGGGCATGCAATCATATTCCTTAGTAATGGTGATATAATTTCATTCATTACAGCTTCAGGGTTTACTGACAAATACCAGATCCCATGGTTGGGGAAGGAGAAAGGAGAGGGAGGCCTGGGCCCTTCCCTAGGGGAGTTCAGGCTAGGAAAGCAAACCTCAAAACACAATCAGATGTGAGGAAGCATAGTACAATTTAGTGTCCAGTAGGCATGCAGAGAAGAAAAATTGGTGAGGTTCGTGAGGAGGTCTTCCTGGAGCAGGTGGCACTTGAAGAACTAGGGAAGACCTGTATACTAAGGGAAGAAATCCCCATCAGAACTCCGGGCTGATGCCGGGCCCTGAATTTGACTGTTCCCCAAGCCAGTAACGTGCTGTCTGGATCACCTGAATTCAGGCCTTCAGACCTCTTGCCTCGACTGTTGTAATACCTCCCAACCCGTCACCTTGCCTTCAGTCTCTCACTTCTCCAATTCATCCACATAACTCCAGAATAATCTTCCTCATGTAAAAGTCTAACCATATCACTCCCTTTCTCAGAAACGGTCAGTGGCTCCCTATTTCCTACAGGATAAAATACATTAACCTACCATTAAAGATCTACTCCAGCCTGACTCTAATCCATCTTTTAGCCTTATCTCACAATGTTAACTTTCCCATGCTCCAGTCAAATCAGGCCGTTCTTCATGCCCAGTTTTATCATGTCTGATCTCAAATACCTACATTTGCTATTTCCATCCTCTGTCCACAGAATGGCAGGTGTACCTTGTCTCCCCTGTCTCTGCCTTTTGAAATTTTTTACTTACCCCAAGATCCCTCCCCACCCCACTCTGAGGGGTGTCTCCTGCCTCCTGTCTCTTGTCCCACACTCCATGCATACCTCTTCTGTGCCCGTATGGTCTAACCAGGGCTATGGTCACTCACATCCATTTATGTCTTATCCCCTCCTACTCAACAATAAGCTGTTTGAGAGCAAGGGCTATGTCTTAATCATCTTTAGATGCTCAGCACTGAGCTTTTAGAATTAAGAATTGATGGCTAATTTAAAAGAAATGACCTCCTTCCTTTCCCTCCCCTCTCTACCAGGGAAAACAGAGCTGGCCAAACAGACAGCCAAGTATATGCACAAGGACGGCAAGAAGGTAAGAGGGGCAAGCCCCCTAAGGGTAGGACCAGAGCACCTGACTCCGCTGTGGTAATTTTACTGCCTCGAGAGAGGGATTCTCGAATCATAGCTTCAGCAGGCAGTGAGAATGGTGGAAAGATCCTTGGAGGAATCTCAGGGAACCCCAGGAGTTTCTGGTACTGCTGCAGTCACTGATTTGCCATTCAGACTTAAATAAATTGCTCAACTGCTCAGTTTCCATTTTTGAACAGCCACTTGTCAAGGATGTCCTGATGGGTACTCCTGTGTAAAGGTTGTACCAGAGGGAAGCCAAGGTCCCTTCCATCTCTGATTCTGTGATTCCTCATCTGTAAAATGGGAAGCAGAGTTCCTGCATCAGCTGACCTCCAGAAACAGTTGTAAGGCTCAGATGAGATCCCAGATGGGAAAATGTCACCAAGCAACAGGTCCTGGGAAAAGATGCAGGGGTTTGCATGGACTGCAAGTTCGGTGTGACCTGAGGGTGTAGAGCACAGTAGATGGTGTCAGATATCTGGAGGTCTGTCATGGGGAAGAGAGACTAGTCTTGTTCTGTTTGGCCCCAGAGGACAGAACTGGGAGCAGTGGGTAGAAATTAGAGAGAGGTCGAGTTCACCGTAATATAAAGATGAACTTCCTGACATGGAGGTCTGTGACCAAGTGGACTGGGCCAGCAGGGCTCCGAAGGCCTTTGGGAGGAGGCCTGGTGACCACTTGTCAGGAATGTTGTTCCCATAAGGCTTCCTTTCCTGTTCAGGGATTTGGACTAGGAGCCCTCAGAAGTCCTTTCCAACATAGAAATTCTGTACCGACTGAAAAGGTGAATTGAGCCACTGCATATGAATGGGGTGTTGTAATCCTTTCTAAGGGAATCTGTGTTTAAAAATCATTACTTGGTTGGTGTATAAAATTGGGAAGTATTTCATTTTTCCCTCCATCGCCTGCCACCAGTGCATTGGCTACTACCCCATTCAGAGGACAGAGTCTGATTTGCTAAATTGTCTCCTTGGCTGTCTGATTTTCAATCTTAGTAGAATCTCTCCCATCTCTGTGGCCTTATATAAGCCCAGGCCTTCAGCCCCATCCAGAAAGATAGAGCTACCTCTTCAGTGGCCTCCCTGCCTACAGTATCTCTCCCACTGTCTTTCCTGAATGCTGGGGCTGAATCATGATCCTGTTACCCAGCTCTGACCATGCCTTTCTCAGGAACCTTCCATAACTCCCCATAACCTCCAGTGGGATGGATGAATGTCCATACCCCTTAGCCTGATATTCAAGACTCTCCATCATCTGACCCAGTCTGTCTGTGGCCTTGTATCTCAATCCTCCCTTCAGCCAAAGTAGACAACTTAATATTCTCCAAGTGATTTCCATCCATTTCCATCTCCAAATCTTTGCACATTCTTCTCTCTCTGCCTCCCTCCTTTTTCCCTCACCCCTGTCCATCATCTCCTGAAGCCTGCCTGTCCTTCCAGGTCTATTTCAGTTGCCATTCCCTCCATGAAACCCTCCCTGATCCCCAAGCTGGAAGTAATTCCTCCCTCCTCTGGCCCAGCAAAAGCCATGTCTTTCCCTCTCGTCATATTCTGTCATATGTTGTAGTCATCCTTGTACACGTCTTATCCATCTACTGGACTGTGAAACAAGTGAGGGTGACGATTAGGTCTTTTCAATTTTTGTCTTCACCAGGCTTTGACTGGTTAGCCATTTGTTGAGGGGGTTCCGATTCAGATAGAATTTGGACTTGAGCTCCCTTATAACCCCGAAATTGTTAGTTCCATAACTCAAGCACAAGGCCCTGCTCATAGGTAGTTCTCAGTAAATGTTTTTTTGAATTGACTTTCCAGCTCCACAGGAAATGTTTTCATCCAGAGGAGTGATATCGGGAAGAATGGTCATTGGGGTCCCCTTGAGAATGTGCCTATCAAAGCAACCAAACCTGCTCCTGCCAGGCTTTTCCATCGCTCCTCTAATACCTTCCCCCTCCGGCACTGACCTGAAGAATACATGGAGACTCAGGTGTCCCCCTTGTTCTACATGGAAACTCTGGCAGGACTTAAGCTGTTGTTTAGGACCCTGCCCTCCTGTGGTATCAGGATTCTTGCTTTTCTACTTTGCAAGAATTAGTTTCTCATTGCTGGAGGCATTTAAGTGGAGGCCAGCTGACCAGTTGTTTGATGTTTGGTTTGGTTTGGGTTTGGGGGGTTGGTTTTTTTGGTCTCACTTTGTATTTATATCCCCAGCAATTTTTATTTAACTTTTTTTTAATGAACAAAAAATGTTTTCTCTCCCTCCCATGACCACCACCACCATCCCCCATTGAAAAAGGAAGAAAAGCAAAACCCTTATACAAAACAAATGTGTAATAGTCAAGCAAAACATATTTCTCTCATTGGCCATATCCAAAAAACACATGTCTCAGGCTGTGCCCTTGACCTGTTGCTTCTCTTTCAGGAGGTGGGTGTCATGGTTCATCATTAATCCTCTGGAATCATGGATGGTCAGTGTGTTGGTCAGAGTTTTTTGTTGCAAAGTTTTTTGTCATTACAGTGTCATATTTAATGAAACAGTTGTTCTCCTGGTTCTGCTCACATTACTCTGCATCAGTTCATACGAGCTCTTCTAGGTTTCTCTAAAACCAATCCCCTTCATCATTTCTTACAGCACACTAGCACTCCTTTACATTCCTATACTGTAGTTTATTCAGCCATTCCCCAATTAATGGACCCCACCATTTCTTTGTCACCACAAAAAGAGCTGCTTATAAATATTTTTATACATGTGGGTTCTTTTTCTTCTTCTGTATTCTCTTTGGGGTACAGACCTGGTAGTGTTACAGCTGAGTCAAAGAGATATGCAGTTTAGTATCTTTGGAGGTGTGGTCTCAGATGGCTTTCCAAGTCAACAAACATGTATCAAGTGCCTCCTATGTGTCAGGCACTATGCTTAGTGCAGAGGATACAAAGAAATGTAAGAGAGACCCCTCTCTCAGAGAACTCATAGTCTAAAAAGGACAAGAACATGGAAACAACTCTGTACAAACAAGCTTAGACAGGGTAAATTGGAGATAACCGCAGAGGGTAGACAGGATGCTTGGGCCAAGTCTCAGCTCCACCACCAGAGTGTCAGTGTACCTGCCCGACTGCACTTGGGAAGGAGGGGGATGGATGATGCTACTTCAGCACAGCTTGAATTAGATCTCCTCCAAGGTCTCCACCAGCTCCACCAGAGGCTTTGTGCCATTTGTGGCCTAGCGCCTGTCCCTTGACGTACCTTTTGAAATGAAGAATAACTCACATTATTAGGGCATTCAAAGATTTACAAAGCATTTTCCTAACAGCTCTGTGAGATAGGTTGTACAAGTTTGACAGTATCCCTATTTTATGGATGGCAAACTGATCAAAGAGGTGAAGCCACAGTTGCACAACTAGTGCCTTCCAGGGCTGCGACTGAAACCCTAGTCACCTACCTCAAATCCAGCATTCTTTCCACTCCCTCTTCCTCAACACATTCAACCATCCCAGTTCAGGGCCCACACTTTGTTTCTGTGACCACAGCATTTCACGCACCTCATCCCCAGTGGCTACCGTGGCATTCACCCCCTCAGTGGCCAGGCCCACCCTGCCATGCTACCGGTTCCTTTTCTCAAGAGAAGAGCTAAGCCAAAGACAGAACCCTACGCCCAGCACCCTATCCTCTCCAAGCCCCCTGCTCTCCAGTTCTCCCCACCTCAGCAAATCCCAGAGTAGTCCACGTGGCAGTGGATGCTATGTGTCGTGTTAATATGACAGTCTGCACAGATAGCTTGCTGAAAGACAATTAATCAGGTTGGCAGGCTTTCAACAATTAGCACTCAGGAAAGGGTTATAAACTAGGCAGACTGTTAGGAGAGATGCAGTTAGAGGCAGGAACTGACTGATTAGGAATGAAGGATTCCTGGTCGTTTCATTTTAATACTGTCAGAAAGGTTAATATTTAATTACAAATTATAATTTTATCTGATCTGTCTTCATATGTCTTCATACGTGCAGCACTGAGAATCAAAATAGCTACAGATTTGCTGACACAGCAAGGTTTGTTAGCAGGCTCAATGGGGAAAGGAATTTTCCCTATTAGAATGTTTCTGTAGACAGTAGAGTCAAGCCTCATTGGGTGATCCAGTCACTTCTCTTTGCATCATACCTTCCCCCAGAAAATAATCATAATATGACTGCTGTCCTGTGAAGTAGATGAGGTGTGCAGTGTTAGCTCCACTTTGCAGATGAGGAAACTGAGGTCCAGAGAGATAAGTCACTCAGCCAGGGTCACATGGCCATGGCTGTATCAGTTGCAGGCCCAGCTGGAACCCCAGACTAGTGACTCTTAACTCAGTGTATATTTTTACAACACCAAGTCCAAGGTCAATTTTACCCTTGTAGCAAAGTTGACCCCATTTCACAGTGTTGTCCATAGAGGGGGCAAGAAGCCTGGCAGAGCTGGCCATGTCTTAGTGTTAGTTAGTTTTAAACCTCTCAGCTCTAGTATAAACTCACAATTGCCCAAATCAAATGCATTACAACAAGTTATTCGCTAGCACAGAAATTTCCTGGTCACACGGCATGCATGCAAGAAAACAACTTCTCCAAGTGGTCTCCAGAACATGAGAGGTCTTTGGTCTTCAGGAGTGGTGGTGACGAAGATGATGACAATGATAAGAACTAACATCATCTAATAAAAAGAGCTGGAGGCAGAGGGATTCCAGGTGCCTCTGCTGCTATTAGCTGTGTGACTTTGGCCAAGTCACTCTCTGACTGGGGGCCTCAGTTTCCTCCTCTGTAAAATGAGTCATTGGGCCTAGATGATCTCTCTGGTCACATCCTCCACTGAATCCTGTGACTTCCCATGTCTGTAGCAGTTTAAGCTTTCCAGCCTCCAGTACCTGTGTGGTGTAGGTAGTATTAGCATTGAGAGGAGTCTCCAAGCCAAGACCCCCTGACTCCAGGTTCAGGATACTCTGCTGCCCCTCTGCATGACAGAAGCTGTGAGGTCACAGTGCCTAGAGCACCGGGCCTAGAGTCACAAAGCCCTGAGTTTGAGCTCTGCCCCAGACACGTGCTGGGCAAGTCACTTCACCTCTGTCTGCTTCAGTTTCTTTATACGTAAAATGGGAATGTTAATAGCATCTACCTTTTCCTGGGTTGTTGTGAAGATCAGATGAAATAATATAATGCCTGGCATATAGTAGGTGCTTAATAAGTGTTTTTGATTGATTGATATATGTAAAACACTTTGCAAACCTTAAAAGTGCTCTTTAAGTTCTAGCTATTAGTGTCGGTGACGTTCTCCAGGTTCCTAAGTGACTTTCTGTCCTTCGGTAGAGAGAGTCCTAGGCTGGAAGTCAAAAGGATCTAGGCTCCAGTACCAGCTTTCCCACTTATTCCATGTGTGACCTTCTTGGCTGAGTGCTTTCCCCTCTCCAGGACTTAATTTCTCCCCTCGAAAATGGGGGGAAATACATGTCTTGCCCACATCAAGGAGAAATTATTTCCACCCTCATTTATTGTTTCTCTTTAGGCCTCTGTGATACTTCTGCCAAGTAGAACAGAAGCCCAAGCCAGCCAGCATCAGATTCTTCTCCAAAGGGACTCGTGTCCCTTAACCTCCAAACAAATATTTGCTGTTATGCTGTTTTGGAAAATCTGACCACTGAGCTGAGGAAGGGATCAAATTGGAAGTCAGACCTTTCTTTAGAGGCTCTCTGGCTGCCTGCCCCTTTCCTCTTGCTTGCACAAGATCACTGAAGCCTTCTGAGAAAATCAAGGCAAGACTCCCAGAATGAAGCAGCGTTTGAGTTGGTTTTTCTGGGAGGAGGAGAAATTCCAAGATAGGAGGACAAGGCCAGACATAGGGATCAACATGAACAAAAGCTAAAACCCAGGGCAGCTACAGGAAATTGTGCTTTGTCCTTTGGGCTGGAACATAGTCTCTGGGGAAGAGAGATGAGTGGATGCCAAGCTAGAACCTGAGCAACAAAAAACCATTAAAGGATTTTGAGATGTGTGTGGTGGTGGTTCAGTTCAGCTCTTTGTGACCCCACTTGGGGTTTTCTTAGCCAAGATACTGGAGTAGTTTTCATTTCCTTCTCCAGCTCATTTTACAGATGAGGAAACTGAGGCAAAGAGAGTAAAGTGACTTGCCCAGGGTCACACAGCTAATAAAATTTCAGCATTGAAATTTGAACCCAGGTCTCTTGATGCCAAAACCACTACTGATGGTGGGGGGGGGGTAGTTAGGAGACCTGGGAGTTGATGGAAGAATGAGCGTTGAGGAAATGCCTCTTCTGCCTTCTCGACCTAAACACTTCTTGTGGTCTCTGGTTTATATGCAGGGCTTCATTCGACTGGACATGTCTGAGTTCCAGGAGAGACATGAGGTGAGTATGGGACCTGGCCAGGAAAGCAGGATGGGGCATCAGACAAGAAGAGGGGAGCACAGGCAAATAAAGCTGGTCTGCATGCCTTTTTCCACTTGGCCACTTTGTCTTTGTAACATCTAGAGGGAGGCTGCATTCCCTGAGCGTGCAGGTCCTGTCAGGAGAGGAGATGGGGTGCCTCTGTCCAGTGGAGATGTGCTGGGCCATTATTTGTTAGTGGTTTTCCGGGGTTGGCCTCTGTTGGGTGCCCGGCCCCATTCCCCTTTGCTAAGGACAGCGTTGGACACGTTCTCCCCGTAGTGTTTGAAGCTGTCATCGGTGGTGTCCGGTGGTGGTTGTATCAGGCTTCTCTCCCCACCAGGTGGCCAAGTTCATCGGCTCCCCACCCGGCTACATCGGCCATGAAGAAGGGGGCCAGTTGACCAAAAAGCTGAAGCAGTGCCCCAATGCTGTGGTGCTCTTCGATGAGGTGGACAAAGCCCATCCAGATGTCCTCACCATCATGCTGCAGCTGTTCGATGAGGTGTGAGGGCTGGGCTGGGAAGGGAGGGGACCATCAGGAAGGAGGAAGTGTTTAATGGCTGGGGCCCTAGCCCCTAGGCTCAGGTACCAGGGGAGGTCCTTCAAGGTGGTAGTGAAGCACTTCTTGGTCATGGAAGTTAATCCTTGAAGATGGAGACAGGACAGCTCTATGTTATCTCCATTTAACAGATGGAGGCACTGAGGTCAAAGAGAGGTCAAGGGAACCACTCCAGATCATGCATTGATACCATACTAAAGCTCTCATGAGGACCCAGTTCTGGTTTTTGTGCCCAGCCCCACCCAGGGCTGCACTTGCCATGTCCCACGTTGAAATGGCCTCCTCAGTGGGCAGCTAGGTGGTGCAGTGGATAGCTCCAGACTTAGAGTCAGGGGAACCTGAGTTCAAATCCAGCCTCAGACACTTGACATTTACTAGCTGTGTGACCCTGGGCAAGTCACTTAACCCTGACTGCCTCACCAAAAAGAAAAAAAAAATGGCCTCCTCAGATTCTTAGGGCAAAATGACTCTCGTGCCCCATTCTAAACAGGGTTTGGGGGCCTGCTGTACCAGGGACCCCTGTTGGGAAGGGCTTGAAATGCCAAACATACCTAGCACTTTGTGATTTGTTGTTGTTTTGGTTTGGGGTTTTTTTTCTTAACAGTAAATAGTATTTTATTTTTTCCAAATTACATGTAAAGATAGTTTTCAACATTCTTTCCATGTCCAACTGGGCCAGATTTAACACACATGAGACAAGAGAGAAGGAGCATCACTCCACAGGTGTCAGCAGCCGGTGGAGGCGCCAGGACTCCTGGGGCCCCTACCTCTTAATAATACAGGCAACCCTTCCACAACCCTGCCCTCTCCAGGGGGATTTCTCAGTAGCATCATGAATATGTTATCTGCATCTTAATTCACAGCCCTGTAGTGCTTAGCAATTTACAAAATGCTACTACCCTCATAACAACTCCATGAAGTAGAAAATGAGATCATGGTCTCTGTCTTACAGAGGATGAAGCAGTGGCCCAGGCTGGTCAAGTGCCTTGCCCCGGGTCAAAGAGCTAGTAAGGGGCATCTCTGTGGTTTGAACTCATATCCTCTGGCTCCGAGTCCAGTGCTTCTTCCACATTATGGTACCTCACCAAACCTTACCCTGAGGTCATAGAACCGTATGCAGCAAGTCTGCTTTTAATAACAGTATTTCTCTCTGCCCTCCGTCACACTGTCTAAACCACCATAGTTCTTTGCTCCGTGGGCCACCACCAGCTTGGGCAGAGCATGCTCCCTGCAGTGAGATGGGCCCAGATGACTCCTCGCTGGAGATGTTAGAGAGAGGGGATTCCTGCTCAAGTATAGCTTTGGGCTCAGCACTCTGTAGGCCCTTCCTAGTCTGACGTGCTGTGATTTTGTCAATTCTTTCCATTCCTATTTTGTAAATTATCTCCCGGGGGACCTCTGAGGTCATCAGGGATTGTTGTCCTTATTTTACAGAGGAGTAAACAGAGGCCCAGAGAAGGGGGTGGCTCTCTAACGGTCACGTTAGTGAATGGCAGAATGGGGATTCAGGCCAGGTCTCCTGTTCTCTCCCAGCTGCCCCATGGAGCCTAACTGCAGCTGGCCTCCCACTGATTCTTCCTGACGCTCTGCCTTCCCCAGGCTCTCCCAGCCATGTCTCTGGGATGTCCACCCCTCCACAGAAGTGGGGTGGGACCCCCTCCCCTCAGTCAACACATCCCTTAACCAGGAGGCTGGGCCACAGGTCAGGGAGGGAGTCCACCTGCAATCCCATCTCCAGCCCCCTAGAGAAAAGACTGGAGCTGGGACAAGGCAGCTGCGAGGGAAGAGGCGCTCCTACAGCTGGTGGCTCAAATACAATTAGCCAATTAGTGTTCTTCGTGTGAAATACAATTAGTGTCGGCACATATAACTCCTCCCAGCCTTCCCTGGCAGCTCCCTCAGGCTGTTCCCCTGATTTTTCAAGCCCCCCACTGCCTGCACACAGTTCTTGGTATTTCCCCCTCCCTACCTCTGACCAGGGCCTTCCTTAAGGGAGGTGGAAGGAGCACTGGCTCTGGTTCGCTTGCAGCCTCTGACCCTGACCACCTGTGTGACCTTGGGCAAGCCACCTATCTTTCCTCAGCCTCGGTTTCCTCATCTGTAAAATAAAATATTAGACCACTGGCCTCTGCGGTTCTTCCCAGCTCTCATTAGATGAGCCTTTGACAGATTCAGATGGCAGAACTGGCATTCATACCAGGGCTCCTGAACCCAGATTCATTGCTTTTTATCTACTGCACCATCAAGTGAGATAATGAATGTAAAGCATTTGTAATGGTGAAGTCCTATATAAATATATAAATATATGAGCAGTTCCCCAAGGCTCTTTTTGTGGGATGGAGTATCAGGCAGAAATGGGCCCAGCCGGGAAACAGCCTGACCCAGGGCTGCTAAGAAACCTTTTTTACACCCCCAATCTTAACCCCCCCTTTCCTTTAAGGATTAATATCGCAATTGTTTCTTGCATAGATCACCAGCCCAGCAGCTCAATGTGAAATCAATTCCTGCAGCGCAGGTTTGACAGGCCAATAACCTCAGTGCTCATCGCCAGCCCCCACCCAGGATTTGTGTCCTTGGCTGGCTAGGCAGACGGCCCCTGGGACTGGGACGGATGGGCCCGAGCTGTTTGTTTGGGTTTTTTTTTTTATTGCCCAGGAAAATGAGTCTTTGCAAAGGTTCCCATGTCAACTGCTACAGTAACATTAGGAGCGGTGAACATCACCCCTCGGAGCCGTCACAAGGCACCTGCGCCCCCCTCCCTGCTCGGCACAGTGGCGGGCTCTGTCTGCTGTTCTCCCAGGCTCTTAAAATGAAATTGCTACATGGTTATTGCTCCAGCCAGAGCCAGAGGGATGTGACCTCACTGGGCAGCAAGGGGACTCAGCAGAGAGGTGGGGGCGCATAGATAACTCTCTTCCCTCGGGATGCAGGGAGGGCTTTCAAGGGTGGCGGGGCTGAAATTAGGCCAGCCACAGTCAGTAATGACAACAATAATTCCCATTTCTGTAGTGCTGTTGCTCTGACAAAGTGCATTCTCCACAACAACCCTTACGAGAGAAAATGTAAAATAACTGTTCCCATTACACAGATGAGGAAGCTTAAGGTTCAGGGAGAGGAAATTATGCCAGTCTCACGGTTGGGAGAGATCTGTAGTTGAACCTAGAACTTGACAGAAATCTCCTCTATAACACCTCTGACAAAGCATAATCCAGCCTCTGGAAGATTTCTGGAGAGGGGCCGCCCACCGCTTCCCAAGGCTTCACTTTTTACTCTTGGAACTCTCATTTTAGGAAGATTCTTCTGACACCCAACTTAAATCTTCTCCTCTGTGGCTTTTGCTCACTGCTCCTAGTTCTGCAGTCTGGCAGTGCTGCCAAGGAAGGAAAGGAACAAAGTAGGTCTGGCATGAAATCTGTTCTTGGTGACATCCTGCTGGCTCTAGGGATCACCATTTCCCTTCCATGTGCTCCATACCATCCTTCTAATTCCAGAATGCAGAAACTGCAGTCAAGCTCACTGGCCTGTGTGCTTCACTTACTCCCTTCTTTACAAACTGATATATTTGCCATCTCCATTCCTGCAACACAGCCCTGTTCTCCATAGTCTTTCAAAAACCTTACCAATAATAGTGGAACAAGTGTTTGAGTCAGTAAAACCTTGGTTCAGTCCCAGCTGTGACCAGAGGCAAATCACTTTTGGTGGGGGGAGGGGCGGGCAGGGAATCAGGGTTAAGTGACTTGCCCAGGGTCACACAGCTAGTAAGTGTCTGAGGCAGGATTTGAACTTGGGTCCTCCTGACTCCAGAGCCTCTGTCCACTCTGCCATCTAGCTGCCCCCAGATCATTTTACCTCCCTAGACCTCAGTTTCCTCATCTGTAAAATAGGATTAGCAATCAATACCTGTAGTACTTAGCTCACAAGGTGATTATCAAGATCAAGTGAAAAAAAGGGGTGTAGAGGTCTATATAAATCACCAACTATTGTTATCCTGGGATAGAGTTCATCTACCCCGGGTGACCTTACTGGCACCAAGGGAAATTACATGCTTTTCCTCATCATCTCATTTATTTGGGGTTAACTATTTTTGCTTCGTTCTTTCTGGCCAAAAAACCTGAAGGTAAAGTAAGAGTCACATAGTTCTGCTTCCTCTTCATGGCCTCTCCCACCCTTTGCATTGGTTCTGTCTCTTCTTTGGTCTTCTGATCTCCAGTAGTTTTCAAAAGCCTTTTTTGTTGTCTGTAACAGTCATTGACAGCCTCGACTCATCTTGCATTTTATTGATCCTGACCTTGTTTTTATGGGGACCATGCCAGTCTTTTATATTCATTCTTCATTCACTGCCCTTGCTTCCATCTTCTTGAAATCCCTGTCAGAGAGTTCCCTATGCGTCCACATCAGCCTTTTTGAACAACCCTTTGGAATGGTCTCTATGTCTTCAGAATTTTGTTATCAAGAGCCTCTCATCCATCCTGGGCTTATTCTGCTTGTAGAATTTTAGGTCATAGGGCTACCCTTTCCCTGAACCCCAAAATCTCTGGTACACATCCAGCTGTTCCCAGCTTTCTTTGTCTTCTCTATCATGAGTTCTAAGCTAGAATAAATACTTCTTCCCAGAGCCGCTATCATTTTTGTATCAGCAATCATGTCCTCCCTGTAGGTTTGAATGAGTTCAGAAATGAAATTCAACCTTTACTGAAGAATGAGTTGCCCAGGGTTGCCCTGTAAAAGCCTAGATTTCAACAGGCGGGTCCTGACACAAAGGCCAATGCTCCATCAGTGTCACCGTACTGCCTCACAGCCCTGGGCCACGTGGAGAGCAGGGGAGGGGAGAAGAGAGAAAGAAGGCCTTATCTCCCTGCCTGCCCATTCCCAGATCCTTTTAGATTTGGATTCCTCATAGAAGACCACTGAATCCAGCCATTTTACCAAGCAAGAAAAATGATCTCCAGCAAGGAAAAAATGACTTCCTGCAAGCCATATATGTGAGTTGTGGTAAGACCAGGACTAGAGCTCAGATCTTCTGACTCTCACCATAAGGCCCCTTCAATGCAAATGAAGTCTTATTTTTCCAAAATTTCTTTTTACAAGGGCTTCAAAGTACCATGAACTCTCCATTCTCTATAGTGAAAAAAGACACACTAGCATCTTGATACCTCTATATCTGGCTTTCTCCAACCCCCACCCCCTCAACTCCATATGAAAGCTCCAAGCACAGTGCATGTGGCAGGAGACCCCTCTGAACCAGAATTAAGTGTTCCACATAGGCCTAGGGAATGTCGTCACGGGAAGGGACCATAGAACATAGACTGTATGCCCCAATATTTTATGAGTCTCTGGCAGGGAGGGGATTCCCTCCACTAGTACAGATGGAAACCCCTCCACATCTTAGTAGCCAGCACCCAAGAGTTACTGTGGCCAGTCAGCTTATCCACCTGCAACCAACCTGGTAATGAGCTTCTCTCCAGACTTCTCAAACAACAGCCTCACACTGTTGCCAGGCCTCTCTCTCTATTCAGCCTTTCCAGCTTGGGACAACCCAACAGAGTTTGCCCTCTGGTAACCCAGGGTCACCATGAGGTGTCACAGTAGGATGTCAGTGGACAAGAATGCCACTGGAAAGGACTCTAAAACAAAGAATGTTGCTCCTAGAACAGTCCTTAGACTATAGAACATAGAATATCAGGGGTGAGAGGGCCTCTAGAATATATATCAGAGCCGGGAGGGACCTTAGACCATCTACTCCCACCCTTTTATTTAACAAAGGAAAAATCTGAGATTCTAAAAGAAAAAGGCCTTGTCCCAGAACCCCTCAGCCAATAGCAGGGCCAAGGCCACAATGGCTCCATGTAATGAGACCCCCAGCACCCAAATATGGGTGTGAGTCAATCCAGGAAGCATTAGTATGTATCAGATATGAGATTTGTCCTAGGACACACAGATGAAGAAGGACCCAGCCCTTGCTCTCCAGGAGCTTACAGTCTTGGGAGTGGGGGAAGAGGACAACATAATGAACTATACAAGGTGGAATAGGATGGGGTGAAGGAGGGATAAGACATTAGCTCTGAGGAAATTTAAAGTGAAAAAGACCAGTGTCAGCTGTGGAAGAGAAGGCTGCATGGAGTGGGTGGCACCCAAGTATTGTCTAAAAGGATTTCCAAGGAGGTGAGAAGGGATTGCAGTCAAGACATGAGGAAGGAAATGTATGGCTTGTCTGTGATGCACGAAGGAAGGAAGGAAGGAGTCAGGCAACAGCCCGCTGAGTTTGGCCAGACTGCAGGGTGCTAAGGGCAGTGATGGGGAAGTAAGACCAGAAGGGAAAGCTGAAGCCAAGCTCCTTGGTTGCCAGGCCTAAGGATCCCTTTGTGTATTAGCTGGTAATCAATAGGGGGATGTCGACCCCATTTGAGTTTCCTTGGCAGAGATACTGGAGTTGAGGGTTAGGTGCCTTGCACAGTGTCTGAGGGCTGGTTTGACCTCACAGAGATGAGTCTTCCTGACTCCAGACCCAGGATTCTGTGGCACCCCCAGCTGCCTCCCAGTAAGGAGATATTGAAGGGTTTTGAGGGAGGAAGTCACGTGGTTAGATTTGTGCCTGGGAGGATTACATAGGCAGTGGATTGGAGGAAAGTTTGAGTCAGGGAGACCCATGACAGTGCAGGCCTCAGTGTACATTCCCTCTGTGCTGTACTCAGTCTGGTCAGACTGGCCTTTGTTCCTCAAACACACCCATGCTGGGAAGTCAAGCCAGCTAGCATTTATGAAGCACTTATTACGTGCCTAGTTCTGGGCATACAAACAAAAGCCAAAAATGGACAGTCCCCACCTCCAAGGAATTTACATTTTAATGGGGGAAGACTATACATAAAAGGAGCTGGAAGCCCCTCTGTGGAGGTAGAAGAAGCTTGATGGAGACCTCTGGAGTCATTAGGGGAGCCAGGAAAGGAGTAAAGATCACTGGCCTGGGCACTTCCTCAAAATGGAGTTTCCAAGAGGAACTGTTGTTGGGAAGAGGACAAGGGGCAGAGCCATCTTCCAGGGTAGAAGGCCGAAGGAGAATGACAGGCTCCCTCCTCACCGGCACCTCAGAGAAGCCCTCTCTCCTTCAAGGTGCAGCTCAAACACCACCTTCTACAGGAAGCCCATCCTGATTTCCTCTTCCCCAGCTCCTCAACTGCAACTGAGGGTGCCCTCCCTCACACACTACTATGTATTTAACTACTGTCCTTTTATTTATATTCATTTGGCATATACTTAAATATGTCCTTATCTCCCCCTTTAGAATTGGGATTGCTCCATTCTTTGTATCTGTATCACCAGTGCTTAGCACAGTGCACACTCAGTGCTTGTTGATGGAGTGAAGGGAGATGAGGGCCTAGATTAGTGCGGGCCTGGTATTGGAGAGGAGAGGACAGTGGCGGAGATGTTTTTACCTTTATGGAGGTAAAAATGGACAGCCTTTGGTAACAGTGAATGGAGTATAAGGGTAGAAGCAGGGAAGGTAGAAGAGGGCAGATGCAAAAAGCCCCAGGGCTCAGGGGTGTCGAGATTAATGGAAGGATGGTGGTGCCATTAAGACTGAGAAGAAGTTGGGAGGAAGGATAGGTTTGGGTAGGAACAGTGAGTTCTGTATCTGACATTGAATTTGAGGTTACACTGGGACATCCTAGGGGAATTAGCCTGTAGGCAGTTTGAAATGTGAGGCCTGAAGCTGGAGAGAGATTTGGGAGTCATTTCCTTAGAGGTGGTCATCGAAACCCTGGGACTAGATGGACTCAAGGCAGGAATTGGGGGGCAGGAACCCAACCAGAAACAGGGCTTCTGTTCCCCCTCACAAATTCATTCAGCGTGGAGTCCCAGCCAGCCTAGCTCAGGAAAGACAAGCCTCTGTTACTGTTGGCCCAAGAAGGGACTGTATTGCATAGGGTGGAAAGGGATAGATAGTTTTAGGTGGTTTCAGTAGGTTTCCACATACCTGAAACTTAAACTTTAGGTGTTAGAACTTTAAATTCAAAAAATTCACATTGTAGTCATGTGAATTTTTTCAGTTATCATTCTACAACTAGTTTATCAGAGCACCAGCTCATCCTGAATGCTAAGGGGAAGACAGAAGAATAAGACCCAGTCCTGCTCTCAGAGAGCTCACTGTCCAGTAAGGGAGGTAACAGAGAATGGTGGGAGCCATTGGAGGGGGACAGTCACAGGACTGAGAGGGGCCTCGAGAGACACCAGGCTCCTTCCTGGCCTAGGCTGGAAGACTGCAGTGCCCCAGGGCCAGTGACTGAGCAAGGGCCCATTGAGACTTTATTCTGTCCCTTCTTTCTGCCATTCATCCCAGCTCACCCTTGTCAGCATGTGCTGTAACCTAATAATAATTGAAAATTGTCGAGGCACCAGGTAAGCCCACTTGTCAGATCAGTAACCTCGTTGTACCCACCCCTCTGAGGCAGTAGATGTGGGAAAGGGTCAGCCTGCTAGGGGTCCAGGCTTCTCTATTCCAGAGTGAAGACTTAGGGACAGAGACTTTCTGTTTTTGCCCTGGGGCCCAAAGTTACTGCCAGATAATGGAGCTTTACTGTCATTTTCTGTGATTCTGTAATGACCTGAATGCCAAATGCCAGTGTTTTGATTTGTACATCTGCGGTTAAGTTAGTATCCATAATTAGTTCTGGCTACTTCATCCCTCAGGGGAACCTGTAGTCTGCCGGGGGGCCCCCATTCTGAGAAAGGAGAGCCCCCCAACCTCAAGCAGTACCTAGTTAAGTAGGTGCAAACAGAGAAACAAGGAGCAGCCAGAGTGCCAAGTAGGCACTTAATAAATGTTTGTTAATGGGAGAGGGGAAAGAAGCCAGACAGGTCTCCATCCATAAGGGCTGTGGGGTTTCTAAAGGGGCTTACAGTGAACCTGGTCCAGGTGGAATTAGGCTGAGAAAACTTCATGAAAGAGGTGAGTATTGAGGGACATAAAATAAGCCTCCATGGAAGGGGTCAGAAATGAATGCTTGGCCCACTTCAAGGCTCTCCCTAACCCATGGCATTTGGGGTGGGGCTTGCTGCTGCAGGGACGCCTAACAGACGGGAAAGGGAAGACCATTGACTGCAAGGATGCCATCTTCATCATGACATCCAACGTGGCCAGTGAGGAAATTGCCCAGCATGCATTGCAGCTGCGCCAAGAAGCCCTGGAGCTTAGCCGAAATAGGATTGCTGAGAATCTTGGTATGAGCTGGGCCTCAGCAGCATGAGGCTGTGGGCAGTGAGTGGTGGGAGCAGAATCTTCATCTTTTCTACCAGCACGTAACTTTCCTAAGCCCTTCCCTGGAGGTTCCTGAGCTGGAGTCCAGAGGGAGCTTTGTTAGGCAAGGAATAAACTAGATAATGAAGCAAGCATTTGTGCAGCACTAGCTGTATATATGCAGAGCATTGTTCTAGGCACCATGGAAGGTCAAAGAAATAGAAGAAATAACTCCTGGAAAGGCCAGTGTTGGCATTTTGAGGATTGTTATTTTTTAAGATTACTGATGAAGGCATACGATCCAAGAGGAATGACAGAGCAAAGGGGGTAAGGAGGAGAGGCATGGCCCCTGTCCTCAGGCAGTCCCTGGTTTAAGTTTAAGAGAGAGACAGAAGGGATAAATAAAATCAGCAGAAACAAAAAGTACAGTTCGACCACAAGCTTTCTTCAGTAATTGCGTGTGATTATTGAGAGGCAGGATTTGAGTCAGAGATTGTCCAGGGCAACTGGCAAGTGGGAAGGGCTCCTGGAGCATGAAGTAAGCACTGGGCTGTGGTGTGATGGACAGGAACAGGGAGGTATCCTGGGCAGGACTTTATCAGCTTCCTCCCCAAAAAGCTCAAGTCTTGGCCTATCCTCCCTGCCCATCTAAGACTGAGGAAGTACCTTCTCTGGCCCTTTGGTTCCCAGAGCACCCCTAGGCCTGCTCAGGAGATGGAGACTAAACAGTGTCTCCTCTTTCACACAGGGGATGTCCAGCTGAGCGACAAGATCACCATCTCAAAGAACTTCAAGGAAAATGTGATTCGACCAATCCTGAAGGTATCAAGCAATAGCACAGGTGAATCACCTGACTGGTCCCCTCCCTGCAGCCTAAGCTAAACTCTCCCATCTCTTTCCCAGGCTCATTTCCGGAGGGATGAGTTTCTGGGCCGGATAAATGAGATTGTCTATTTCCTTCCCTTCTGTCACTCGGAGCTTATCCAACTGGTCAACAAGGAGCTGACATTCTGGGCAAAGAGAGTAAGAGTGGGGTGGTTGGGGGAGGCAGGTCTTGGGTTGGAATCAGGTGATGGGAATTAGAAAGAGATGGGATGGCTACCTAGTCCGTGTTCTCCTTGTTTCTGAGAGCCTTCTGAGAACTGTGAGGTCAGTTCTCAGGTCCCTCCCACTCTCACAATCTGGATGAAAACGAGTGAAACCCAAGTATGCAACTCGAATGAACAAAAAGCTAGGAAGAGAGAGATTCCGGTCCCTGAGGCTCTCATTAACCATGGTGGGGCTCCGACTTTTTGTCCTTGTCTTTCTCAGGCCAAGCAGAGGCATGATATCACACTGCTTTGGGACCGAGAGGTGGCAGATGTGTTGGTAGATGGTTACAATGTTCATTATGGCGCCCGTTCCATCCGACATGAGGTGAGGTCTTAGGCCCAGAACCTTCAGTATTTCAGGAGATGGGATGTCATTGTGGGTGCTCCCCCCCAAAGCATCTCAGATCCCTTCTTCCCCTCAGAAGATGGTGTTGGGGTGTTATTCATCCCTCAGGGGCCAGTCTGGCTAACCTGGTACACACAGTACTCAAAGCCTTTGTAGTCTTGGATTTATACTCTAATGCCATGGGCTTCCAGAGCCCCCTAGCGCCTCCAGGCTCTGGGGCAGCGCTGAAGGAAAACTTGGATGGAGTGTTAGAATCTTAAATTCTTAGCAGGCTGGGCCCTGGCCCCTCACCTTCCCCCTAACCCCAGATACAAAGGGCCTAGCACTGCTTTCCCATCAGCGGCCATGGCATGCTCAGACCATCTGGCCTACCTGACTGCCTGCAGTCCATCAGTCTGTAGTCACTCCAACCCAGACCAGAAAGCACAGAGGCCTCAAGAAGAAAGGCACCTTTGTGCAGAGGCCTTGTTGGCTCACTTCATGGCTTCTAGCTCTCTGCCTTACGTAAGCTGCTCCTGGGGAATGTCCCTGGACCTTGGCTTTGTGGTCAGCAGGGCTGAGGAGGTGGCTGGCTGGCCAGCTCAGCATGGGTTCCCCTTTTCACCAAAAGCCAGAAATGGGACCAATTGAGACCCATTTGCAAAGCCTTCTAAATCATCCCTTATTTTGTTTTTGTTAGTCAATGGAGTTAAGTGACTTGCCTAGAGGCACACATCTAGTAAGTGTTACCTTTCTGAGGCTGAATTTGAACTCAGGTTCTCCTGACTCCAGGGCTGGTGCTCTTATCTACTGCACCACCCAGCTGCCCCTAAATCATCTCTTATAAAATCTCTTCTTGCTCCTTAGGAGAAAGTCAAACAGTATCAAGAAGTCTCATTAAGAGAGGCAGCCTGGCCTTGGGTGGCTTGTGAATTGGCCTCTGGGTCAGGAAGGCTGGGCTTCAGGTGGGATCCTGGGTGAGTCAGTGAACTTCTCAGGTTATGAGACCCCTCTTTGAGACTAGAAGCCAGAGAGCGGCTGCATGGGCAGGGGGCATCCCCATCCCATCCCTGTGCCTACATCATCTTATCTGGGCCCACCCACCACCACTCCCCCGAAGTAATGTCGATGTAAAATTCAGAACCTCTGTCACAGAAATATTTATAAGAGCGGTTACTAAGGCCTTCCCATCAGTGAGCTAATGAGCTGTCCTCCCAGGAGCCCTGGGAAGAAGGCAGAGCCAAGCAGAGGTCATCCTCCTTGTCTCACAGGTGAGGAAAGCAAAGCCCACTATTCCAAGCCAGGTCTTCAGACTTCATCTCCAGTGTTCTTCCACTAGTTTTATGCATTTAAAAACATTGAGAGGAGGGGTCCACAGGCTTCACCAGACTGCTTAGGGTCCATGGAGGCCCCTCTCTTCCAGCCCTGACTTGTGCCCGGTTGGGCGATCAGGGTCTTAGATGGTGGGGTTTAAACCCTTAGAGCTGTATGAGCTCCAAGGAGGGAGTGCTTGCTATGGGTTAGGGCAATTATGGAAGGAAGTCTTCATCCCCCCAGCTACCAGAACCTTCCCCTCTAGGGTCCATCTGCCATTTATGTATCTCATATGTACCTATTTATGTATGCATTGTCTGCATCTTTAGAATGTAAGTTTCAAGTCCACAGAGACATAAATGATCCTGCACAGAGTGGCCTGGCTCATTTATAGAGCGGTTACTCTGTAGCACGTGCCAGGGATACAAAGAAAAGACACAAGATGATCCCTTACTGGAGGGTTCACCTGCAGGATAAACGGAAAGGGCCAGTGGTCCTTGTGGCGAGAGGTCAAGGAGGCCCTGGGGTACATCTGCCCTAGGGGTCTGAAGGAATGTTGCAGCAAGCAGATGGGGTGGACCTTTGGGAGCAAGGGTGGGGAGCAGGTGTCCATCTTACTGGAAGGAACTGTGGGCAGTGAGTCCCTGTTCATCCCAGTGATGAGTGGCCAAGTCCCTGACCCACAGTGTTGTAGAACCAAGGACTGGAGTCAGGTTGGGCCTCTTGATTCTCTCCTGCAGTGGAAGGGATAGAAGGGCATCAACCATCCCCAGCTGGAGGGGCCTAGGACAAGGGAAAGGCACAGTCCCCTACAGCCCCTGCTCCTCCTAGGTCTGTGGCTATGTCTTGGATGGCCAGGAGTCCCCTTCTCAGGAACACTGTTGAGAAGCCTTGTGGTAGGGCATAGAGAATGATAGACTTGGGGTCCTGAAGGACCTGTATCTGCATCTCAGCTCCAGCCTTTGCTAGCCTCGGACAAGTCACTTAACCCTCTGAGCCTCGGGCTCCTCGTCCGTGGGAGGTGCTGTTGGGAGGTTTCCAGCCTTTGGGCAAGCACTCTGTAAACCTTCCAATGAGAGTCCTTGAGGCTCCAATGAGACATCCAGGCCAGGGTGGGCACGGCCGGACGGGGGTCAGAGCAGCGATGGAGACATGTGAATATGAGTGGTGCCTTTGCAGGTGGAGCGCCGAGTGGTGAACCAGCTGGCAGCTGCGTATGAGCAGGACCTGCTTCCAGGGGGCTGCACCCTGAGAATCACAGTGGAAGACTCGGACAAGCAGCTCTTGAAGACACCTGAGCATCCGTCACCCCAGCCGGAGAAGCGACCCCCCAAGCTTCGGCTGGAGATCGTGGACAAGGATAGCAAGAGCCGCAAGCTGGACATTCGGACGCCCCTCCATCCCGAAAAGGTTTCCTGTACACTCTAGTGCTGAGGATGGGCCTGGCCCCGACCCCTCTCCTCAGCAAGGCTGTACCGCGCCCCAGAAAACAATAAATTCTGGTCAGATGTGGCTCCTGAGACCAGGCCCCTGGCCCCCAGAGGACCAGAGCCCAGCTAATTCCTGTGGCAGCCAGCTCTTGAGAGACAGGAAAGGGGGTGGAGAAGATGCTCCTACTGGAAATCTTCCTGCCTGTCCTCTCAGTTCTGGGTAGGGACAGTTTATTTGCACCCTTTCTAGACTCGGGATTTATTTATTTTGATTCTTCACCCAGGACATCCATGGCCAGGTTCCAGCCTTCACCACTGAACAGTGGAGCTGCTGAGAGGATCCCAGCCAGTCTCATCCCCCTCCCCATTGTCATAGAGCCACCCAAGGGAAAGCCCCAGTTGATCTCCCCACCCTCCCCCATGGCCTTCATCTGGGGCTCTCAGGGACCAGAGAAAGATTAGGAAGCATCCCAGCTTATGCTTGCTCCTGCTTTTCCTCCCCCATCCACTAGTACCACCAGCCATACAGGCAAATAGAGGCCACACTCCTGGCCATTAGTTACTGTGTGTACAGCCAGTGCTGGAGCCTGAGCTTTCTGGGGACCCAGCTAGAGGGTCATGGGGCAGATAGGAGGTAAGGCGATCCCCACACCACCTAAAGGCCTTCAGAGATGGGGTCTTGACCCAGTTAAGTTGCCAGGAAACCCTTTCCTCAAGGGTCTCGGGAAAAATCAGCAAAATCAAGTCAACTAACCTGGCCGGTTGTCCAGACAGCTCTCTCCCCAAATCAGATGAGCTCTGAGTGGTGCCTTGCACAGAGCTGACCCTGGCACCAGTGTGAGAAAGGGCTCGGTGCCAGCCCAGTGCCAGGGTGCAAGAGTACCAGATTTATACTTCATCTTCCCCCATCCTTGGGACAGCTCGGGGCTCCTGCACTCTGAATGAGAGACAATGTGGAGAGGCGGAAGGCAGGAGAGCAAGGAGGGAGTCTGAGGGACTGGGAGACTGGGCATGGGTGAGGAGAGAGGAAGGGACCAGAGAGATTGTGTTGAGTGCGACGCGAGTGTGTGACGAGAGAATCAGGGACGACAGAGACTGGGGGCAGCCTGGGATTCAGGGGTGCCCGTCTCTGCTCTTGTCTGCGCTGGGTCTTCCTGAAATAAATGTGTTCCAAACGCAGCTTGTGTCTCTTGGTCATGAGCCATGTGCCCTTCAGCATTCATTTACCTCACGTTACTAAAACACCCACGTACAGAGCACCATGCTGGTGCTAGAGAAGACACGAAGTTTAGATAAAACAGGCTCTGCCTTCAGAGAGCTCCCATTTCAGTACAAGAATGAGATACCAACACAGAGCTGCAGTAAATCATAGTAGATCTAAATGTGAAAGTGCTGCAGAGATCTGAAGAGGAAAGTTGTTGCTACAGGAATTAGCAGGTGGTATTGGAGGTGGGCATTCAAAGACAAACACGAACCCATCCAAACAGAGGCCGATAGCATTGTCCCAGACATCCACATCCTGGGCACCCTGTATGGGATATCGCTAGGATGTGGGCAGAGATGGGGAGCCCCAGGCTGTGCTTTCTAGCAGCTCACCAGCTAAGTACAAGGCACAGCTGCAGTTGTGGGACCTTCAAAACATGGGGCCATGAACATGTTTTTGAGCTCCTAGGTGGTACAGCAGATAGAAGGCTGAACTTGGAGTTAAGAAGACCCAAGTTCAAATCCTGCCTCATAGGGGCAGCTAGGTGGCACAGTGGATAGAGCACCGGCCCTGAAGTCAGGAGGACCTGAGTTCAAATCCAGCCTCAGACCAAACACTTGACACTCACTAGCTGTGTGACCCAGGCAAGTCATTTAAACCCAATTGCCTTTAAAAAAAAATCCTGCCTCATATACTCTGTGACCTTGGACAAATCCTTTCATCTCTCCTAGTCTCAATTTACTTATCTGGAAAATGGGAATAAAAGCACCTACCTCAGGATGTCACATATAAAGTGCTTTACAAACCTTAAGGTACTACATAAATAGTGGCTGTCATTTCTGGGCCAGTTATGAACACATGTGAAGTAGTCTGCAGGCGTGTACTTTAAAATCAGTCTTAAAAATACAAATTGTTCTTCCTGCCATCAAAACAGAAAAGAACTTTTTTTAAATTTGCAGCAGCCACTTGGCCCCTGTTACCCTGCCCTCCAAGGAAAGAGGTGGGAGGGATTCTACAGTTTATACTCTCAGTCATTCATTGTATGCTAAGACCACAGTGTGTGGCTCCCCTGTGGGGGTGACAGGAAGAGGCAGCAATAGATCTATGTTCTGGTTAGGCGGATATTTGCCCTTGAATCAGAAGGCAGGATGGGTAGCTATAAGGATGCATTAGACTAAGGCTCTGCTCAGCACCTCAGTTCCTCAAAAATTATGGAATTTTGAGTTCCACGGTATTTTTCAGAACTGTCAGATTCAACACTCTTATTTTACAAATGAGGAAATGGGCCCAGAGAAGGTGAGACACTTGCCCGAGGTCTCAAAAGTGTCCAGAACCCACAGGACCTGGCCAGGCAAGGGGTAAGAGGAAAATTGACCCCAGTGCAGTCATTAACCAGCCTGCTGCTGTCCTGGAAGAGTGTCAAGCACCAAATGGCCAGTGTTTAAAAAAAAAAAATAGTGACATAAAATGGGCAAAGAAAAGCACTAAAAATGGCTCTAACTTCTCAACAGAGCTGAGAAAGTGGTCCGGGACCCATCTGTGATGGTTTCTGACCCCGGCTCAAGGCACCAAGCCTTAGATCTTTGCACGTGAGGCTGCTTAGCTCCCAAGTTTCCAGAAATTGCAGTCCTTGATCCCTAATTACATCTCTGCTCCTGCCACCACTCCCTCTCAGTGCCAGCTTTCCTTACCCTCCTCCACTAGTGTGTCATGGAAAGCCAGAGGTTCTCTTTCAAGGAAAAGTCCACTTAGTACCTGTGTGACCCTGGACAAGTCACTTAGCCATTACTAATCTCCATTTTCTCATCTGTAAAAAGTTACACTAGCTGGCATCTAAAACCCTTTCCACATCTAAGGTCCTATTACCTAGTATCAAGCCTTGGCACTACTGATTTACTACCAGTGTGACTATGGGTGAATCCTTTAACCACTTTTGGCTTCAGTCTCCTCATCTGTAAAATGGGGTACAAGTTGGACCTTGAGATTTCTAGCTCTAAATCCATTTTCCTATGATCCTATTATTTAAACATAGGACTCATAAAGTTCAAAATCAATGAAGGTGTTGAGGGTAATAAGAGCAATGAAAATTAAAACAACTGAGTTTTCACCTCATACCACAAAAACTAGCCATAATGATACAAAGATGACAAGAGACAGAAATAGTCTATGTTGGAGGGACTACAGGAAGACAAACTCACCAATGTACTGTTGACTCAGTCAATTAATATCCAATTCTGGAAAACAATTTATTATGCAACAAAAGTGATTAAGCTGGTCCTAACCTTCAACTCACTGCTGGGTGTGTACTCCAAGGAGGTCATACAGAAAGGTTCTTCGTATGCCAAAATATTCATAGTATCACCTTTTTGTGACTGCCAAAAAAAAAAAATTGGAAGGAGTAGAAACTCATCAACTGAAGAATAATTGGACAGATTGCCATGAATTCTCAAATGGAACTAAAATACTCAAATGTGTCTCACTCTTGGAACCTCCCTTGCAATTCATCCATTCATACCCTTCCTATGCATTGTCATCTCAAATATTTGCCACAAGGGAGTCCAACTCAACATAGTGGACGCCTTGTTTCCTCCCAACATCTCAAGGGTATTTGTGGAACTCTCTGGCAACATGTCCCGGCTCTTGTCATGGGAATGATTTGCCTTCTTTTTCTGTCTTACAAATTCCTTTGTTGTCATCAGTAACTACTGTTCTTCGGGGTTTGTTGGTCATATCTTTTGTTGGTTATATTTTGTAGCCTGCTCACACCCAATGTGCCAGAGGAGGGATGCTTTTCTTTAGTTCTTCAGACATAGCAGTGCTCCAGCTCTCACTGCCAAACAGCAGACCAGTGTAACAAGAATATATTGGGATGTTATTGCAATGAAAGAAATAGCATATGTAAGCAACTCAAAGAAGAATTGGAAGATTGATATGAACTGATGCAAACCAAAGAAAACTAAACCAGGAAAACACTATGCACAATGATTGCCAAAAAAATCATGTGAAAACACCAAAACCAAGCTGAATGCTGTATAATTGTAATGACCAATTTAGGCCCCAGAGAAGAGATGAGGAAATAAGAGTTGAGAAATATTGCATGTTTTTTACTTAATTGATTTTCTTTGTCACAAGGTTAAGGCTGAAGTGAGGGGAAAGACATGGTGTTTGGGATATACTGGGAAATAACTGGGGTAAAGACAGAAGGCATCACTTTTTTATGGCAAAGTAGATTCACCTCAGTTGGCTAAACAAACTGGCATGTGGATGTAATGGAAAAATAACTGCACCATAAGAAATTGCATTTCTAAAGAATTCAGAAACACATGAGAAGACTTACATGAACCGATGCAGAGTGAAGTAGACAGAACCAGGAAAACAATATACACAATGACTACAGAAAAACCAAAAAACTAGAAACTGGATGCTGTGTAATTAAAAGGAATGAGGTTGGCTCCAGAGAAGAGATGAGAAAAGTGGAACTTTTTGCTCATCTTAAATATTATTTTCCCTATGCATCTTTCTCCTCTACATAGGCCGGGAGTGTGGAATGTTGTATATACTGTCAAACATAGTTGATGTATTGGTTTTGCTGAGTTGCTTTTTTTTTCTTCTTTTTAGTCCTTATTATAAGAAATGGTATAATGGGTAGGAGGAAGAGGAGAAATATGTTCAGAAATAAAACAAAAGGCATCAATAAAAATTGATTTTTTTTAAAAAGCATTAATAAAACTTTTAAAGTGAGTGAGGGGAGTCTACCAGGAGGATGTATACCTTGGCCCTGATCCTTTCTTGGTCCTTTAATCCCTTGTCCCATTGTCCTATCAGTGCTCATGTCTTGTCAGATTCCAACCCTGGTTAATTCTACCATCCTCCCTCCAGACTTGAGACTTCCAGAATAAGCCAATCAGGAAGCTGCTTGATCAGGAGGCAAGATTTCACAGTACCACTTATAAATCCCAATGCAATCAGGCCACTCGAAAAAAGAGGAGCCTCAAAAATGCCTCATATAAAATATAATTAAAGTTTATCTTGGCCTATACCTTTAAAGAGATCAAAAAAGAGGAAAAGGACCCATGTGTAAGAAAATATGGCAACTCTTTTTGTGGTGGCAAAGAACTGAAAACTAAGGGAGTACCCGTCTACTGAGGAATGACTAAGCAAATTATAATACAGGAATGTGATGGAATACTACTGCACTATAAGACATGGCAAAAGAGATGGACTCGGTGAAACCTGGGAAGATATGTATGAAATGATTCAGAATGAAGTGAGCAGAACCAGGAGAACAATTTACACACTAACAACATTGTGAGATAAACATTGAAAGACTCAGCTTTGATCAATGCGATGATTAACCATGACTCCAGAGGATCAATTATGTTCCACAATACCCACTTCCTTACATCTGTAAGCCTCTTTCTCACAAGAGATGATAGGCTCAAGCTGAAGAATGAAATATACATTTTGGGGCATGGACAATGTGGGGATTTGTTTTGCTTGACTGTGAATATCTGTTCCAATGGTTTTATTTCTGTTTTTTCTCTATTTAGGGGTTGGGGGGTAGGGAGGGAAAGGGGAGCTAGGGATAGATAGGGTTGTCAGGAAGGAAGGAGGGAGGGAAGGAGGGAGAGAAGAAGGGAAAGAAGGAAGGAAGGAAGGAAGGAAGGCCATTGAAACATGTTTGGGGTTTTTTTAATTAATTTTTTTTTCAGATCTGCATTTTCTTCCTTCTACCTCCCCCTTCCAATTAAGAAATCAAGAAAAACAAAATCCCTGTTATAAACAAGTATAGTCAAGCAAAACAAATCCCCACATTAGCCATGTCTACACACACACACACACACACACACACACACACACACATATCAATCTGCATTCCATGCCCATTGGCTCTCTATCTGGAGGTGGGCAAATACTTCATCTTGAATCCTTAGGAATCATGGTTGGTCACAGTTCATATGTCTTTTAAAGTTAT